TTGAATGCTTGATCTACGAAATGCTTTTTATCCAGGAAAAGAAACCCAAACTGAACACTCAATCAGACTCAATAAAAGCGAAACTATTTAGTACCTAATTAACACTCACTACATTCCACATTGTAGTTTTTAATCACGTGCAACGAGACTTCACACGCATTCTTAATATATAAAGAACTTTTAACAATCTAATTTTTTAGAATTTGAAAATGATGAGCGAATCATCGAAACGTCATTCAAAATTTTTATCGTTGATCTTTATTCTTAGATAAAATTTATTTTTTGAATTAGAAACTTCACGCATCTAACACCCGGTGTGACAAAACTCCCCCCCTAGGAGGCATCCTAGTAGCTCTTGCGTATGTATAGAAAAGGGTCAAAGTTGAAATATGCAGTCAGCATACCAGAAAAAACACGATTTCCTTAATCAGGGGCAGCATGGAATCGTTGGGTAGTCATACTTCGACACTTTTTTGCGTTACCTGTGTCCAGTGACGTTCTGTTGAGCAGAAGTCTTTGAAAATTATGGACCAAAAAAGCCTCGTTAAGCGTTGATGAAGTTAAAAGGGGCTTGTAACTGTGTATATATAAATAGACACGAGTTTGTCATTCACTAATCTTTGACTGGAAAAGATTTGCCAGACACAAATCTCTTTGGGGAATAAAACTTACTCCACAAACAAGCAAGTTTCCCTATGCAAACCAGTAAATTAACGCCTAGCTTATCACTAGCAGAACGATGGTCGATTACCGAAATTCGCCCACAATTAATTTCTGCACTGACGTATTACCTGCTCACAGATGTCTCTCTATAAAGCTTCTTTTGAAGTATGGTCTTTAAACAGTTAAAAAAATGAAGAACGCGCGAGCATGAATTGGTGGAAGCTTTTTATTAAATTCCAAGGCTTACTTTCCGGCTAATAAAATGAACTGTAAGTAAAAAGCGCAAGAGAAATAGCGAAAAACTACCCCTATAGTCTAATCAAATCTTTTCTAGCAGTAAATATGAAGGAAACTGAGAATGTTTAGATAAAAGCTATGTAAATCGACCTGAATCAGTGCATGAAATCTTGCGTTTCCTGTTTTGTACGGAACTGTGTGAAAACCTATAATATGAATCGGTATATTTCAAAGAGCTACCCCTGACAAAGACTAAGAATACAATTGACTGACAACATACAGAGCGGGGCCGGGACAGCTGAAGCGTCAACTATGACTAGTTACATTATTTGTTCTGTTTTATTTTAGGATTCAAAATAAGGGAAAGAGGGAGAAGTAGGGCACGTATAGCAACTTGGTTTGTGTGATAAAACTTTTTGTGAAAATATCCAAGCCAAGATGGTGATATTATTGTCTAACTCACTCTCGTGATACAAAAAAAAAACTACATCAAAAACCTTGAAGGCATCAACGTTTCGTTTATTCTAACTGATAAGGGTTTGTAGACAGGAGAAGGTACTTAAAAGAGCAAAAAACTCTTCGTTCACCGGTAGTTATAGCGAGTGCATTAATCTGACACATTGTTCGCCTGTTAAAATCTTAAAAAGTCTGGTCGTAAGCGTGACCATATGTTAACCGTCACGTCTGCAAGAACTATTGAAGCTGGAAAGATAATTAAACTTTGCTTTTTTTTTTCTCTAGCTGTTGAGCAGCTTTCCTTGACTTTTTTCTCTGCCAGCCCTTCCGCCTTGATTCATGCTCTCGGCCGCTCTTCAACAGACTATTTTTCAGTTGTGCACTGAGTATCCTGGCCTTAAGTGAAAGTGAGGCTGGAGTTTCAATAGAGATCTTACATCTAAGATAAAAATCAATTGCACTGTCATATGAATGGCACTGAAGTTTCTATCAAAACAAAGTCTTCACCGGTGGTGTGTTTTGTCTTTATCAAGATTAAAACTTAAGGCCTGTCCAAACATTGTATCGCTCAATGGCTTTGAGCTTAAATCTCATTTTCAAAGCGACGATTGTCAAATAATGCAACTTCCCTCCATAAAAAACGCGGGTTTCCCAAAACGACGTTTAAGCCATGCGATTTGCCACGTAGTAAAGTTTCCAAAGGCCCTCAAGACTTTGCTACCCCTCCCAAAGGTCTTCACGAAAGTGTGTACGTACTTTGATATCACAAACCTAAGTCTCTTTTACTGATGGGTTAGCAAGATTTCTTACCCATGGGACTTTGCTAGTGCTCCTCTGTGCGCCTGCATCTGCAACTACTTAAGGAGAGACGATGAAACTTTCTGTGTAGAAAGTGGCTACATCTACTTCTCTTCTCTCTAACACCATGGAAACAAGAAGCCTCCTAATCTAACTATTTTAAATCGATGTATATAGCACTCAGCGTGTTAAAAACTGATATTTATATGTCACTTATGTGCATATAGCAAATGTCTTAATAACTTTAAATTATATTCCTTTGAGAGATAATGGCATTCTAATTCTTTTCGAAACGCATCATGTACATGCATCTACGTATGTATGCGCATGACGCATTCAACCAAAGGAATACCCCTAAAACGAGGTTAAACGAAATTTTGTACATTGAAAAAATGTTATTACCTTCCCTATCTTCCCGTTTATTACCTGAATTGACTTTCCGAAAGAACGGTTTCCCCTTCAACTGATTGCTTATTATGTACTCTACAGAATAAACATAGCTGCTGTCTATACGGGGGTCTGTGAGAATCCCCTAAACGCTTCTTTAAAATTTTGCTTCGTGGAAAAGAGCTAGTCGATATTTTTCGTGCCCGACTCATAGAGTTTGTCTTAGCGAAACTAGTATTATTACAAAAAAATAAAACAAAAGCGTATTGCAATTTGTGTTTAGAAAGTAATTACTTCTGGTCACATCATTGTCACAAAATGTAGCTAAAATGTGCTTGGAGAGTAACTGACAAACTACGGAAAAAAAAACAGTTGGTGAATAGAATTAACCTCCCATTGTCTTATCAGGCTGCCATCGAAAGTCTCGATCCTAATATCCAGGAGAGTGACATTTGAGTATAAGAAACTTGATATGTATCAAATAAGTACCGTACCTGTTTTGAGGTACCTGTTTTAAGGGACGGACCATTAGAAAACTTATGCGGGGGGGGGGGGGGGGCGAAGTACAAACAAAATATTCGCGCAAGGGAAAAGTAAATGAAAAAATTTCATGCACGCCAATTAACCCTAAGAAATATTAATGCTACGGCCGTCTTTTTTTGCCACATTTTCCGAAGAAGAAATTTTAGCAGCAAATAAAGCAGTTTTACTAACAAGTACAAGAAAGAGACAAGTTTGGCTGATGCCTCTTTCTACTTTTAGGTAGAAAATCATTTTCTGGCAGAATTTGCAGCTAAGAAATCCCCGGAACAACTGTCAATTAAAACGAAAATAAAGCACTTAATACTAAGTAATGTCTAATATTTACAAAATTAACTGATTCGTTAAATATGTAAAGAACGATCCCCCTAAGGGACGCCTTCCGTCATCCACCACCGTAACCTGCCCTTCCGGGGGATAGCTGTATACTATCCTATCCTCAAATAATAAAATAAACGAAACACGGGTTATCTTACAGCTTTTCCATGAAATAAAGATTGGCGAATATTCCTGGCGGGAGCTTCTCGATCTTGCTTGAAGATAAATCCCTGGAGCAAAGTTAAAGTGAAGTAAGTCAACCGCATCATGCAAACTGCCCGAGCAAAAAATATTCCATCGAAGATCTGAATTGATTAACTGCTTGCCAATGTAAATACCACATGGATCTTACACGAACAAATTAAAGAACCAACAAAATTAAACAATCCGAGATGTTCAATTTTGGCTAACTACCTTTTTACCAATTCGATTTATTTTAGTAGATAGAGGATATAATTGTATTTTAGTGACAACGACGATAGTAATAATAATAATAATAATAATAATAATAATAATAATGATAATAATAATGATGATAATGATAATGATGGTGATGATTATTAAAATCATCATAGGGGGACCCTGTGGGCTCATTTTTATGCATTTACTTTAAGTGTATGCACGCAGTAAAACGACTGGTATCGACAGGTTTACGAGATATTCATTACTGGAAAAAAGATAAGCGCATAATTTAAGATGTTCACGTGAACGAGTAACACTCAGACTGCGAACAAAATGTTTATTCAAAAGTAACAAACGGTATCTGAATCAAAGTTTGTTTCAGTGTGATTTTCAATAATAGGGAAATAAAAATGAGGGAACCTTTCTGCAACCAAATTTAATACCAAAACTATCTGTACGTTTTTTTTTTCGCCTAAAAAATCCTCCAAAAACATTGCAAAAACCAAAATATATTAAAACGCGGAATGTGAAAACATACTATTACCAAAATTACATACACCTAATTGCAATAACGTTGTCGTAGAAAAATGAAAAAAGCAAAAAGCCAAATAGGAATTAATTAGGCTAATTAAGCCATATTCTCAGGGGTGGATTTATTTGCAGCGGCTGCATTTCCCTGCTGGAATTTTTTTTATTGTTTTTCAGCTTTAAAACAATAGCAAATTCCAAAAGGCAAATCACGACGTCCCTATGCGGATGCTGCAAATGAATTCATGAGGCTTATTAGCCTAATTAATTCCTATTTGGCTTTTTCCTTTTTTCATTTTTCTAAGACAACGTTATTGCAATTAGGTATATCATGCTTAGTAGTCGTGCTTTTGTCGGGACACCTACGGGAGTGTCAAAATTAGAATTTTCGGACAATTTTGAGTCCAAGAATTCAGCACAGATACGTATACAAAACTTCACGAACTCGCAATCCAGAGGGGTAAACTTGGTAGACTGTAGTGTGTTATATGTGTTGGGCGGAATTTTGAAAGAGCGCTTATATAAAAAAGATCATAGAGCGTTAATTACAATTTCAGGGATGAAAGTTTTTGCCCATTTAAACGACTATATCTTGCTGACAAACTGTAAATTGCAAAATATGGCCAATACATGACACACTAGAGGTTTAGACAGGTTATCTACTAATAAAATCACACAGTGCTGTATTCTATTCTTCCGGCAAACTTGGACATAAAATCACGATTTCCTAGTTTGGACAACTGTGACTTTAAGCATCGCTGTAAAGCGCGATTTAGCGATCTACCAAAAAAAGAAACATTTCTCCTAAACTTCCATCATTTCATAACGTCTCCGACTGCAAAATCATATCTAAAGCGCCTCTAAGAGAGCCGACATATAAGCGTTTTGAAAGATGAAGCACAAGCAAACTTTGCCTGATGGATAGGTGTTCCACATGGCCTTAAGTCAATTCGAGAACCTTAAAAGTATTGAAAAGCAGACATTTTGGGCGCAAGCCCTTCGTTTGATCGAATCAAGGGATTCGAGAATGTGTTTGCATATGGGTGTGTAAAGGCAACGATATTGGAGGCCGCGAATATGACAAAGTGTAAAAAAAAAATAATAGATTAGTCGATAGAACAGCGTTTATTGTTGATTTTGTGGAGAATTTGAGCGCCCGCGATTTAAAAGACGAAGGTTTTACAAAGCTCTGTGATTCCTTGGTGTAAAAAAAAACCTTGAATGTGTTCACGGTGGCTTGAACAATCAGAAAAACGCGGAAGGTTGAAAGCGCTACAATGCATCAGGTTTTGATGAATTCGACATTTGTCGCCCTGTAATCTCACTGATTGACCCATGTGCATCTTATTCAATAGCGTGCCACAGCTTTAGATAACGTTTAAGAAGTTGAATGCGTAAAAATTTCTCAGTTACATTGTGAATGAAAGGGCAAGTTTCGCATTGTATACACGCTCATTTGAAAGTCCCAGGTTGATCGTCAGTTTCAAAAGCGCTCATTACTAGAAAGCTACGTTCTTTTCTCGTTAAAATAAAAATAGTAGTAGTGAGAAAATATTTAATTTCTTTTGGGGTCATTTTGGAGCATTTGATAGTCTAACAAAACATAAATAGGAGTTCAAAGTTGTAAGATAAGAAAACAATAGGCCAATTAATTAAGGTAGAGTAGAAAATACACTTACAATTTAGTGGTTGTAGTTGGAATGCAATTCCAGTTATTTGTTATGTTGCTTCTTCTACAGTCGTGTTCGTTGGTTAATTGGCCCAAGCGTGTTATCGAACCTTTACTTTTACACAAATGCTTGCAATCTGCAAAAGGAATAGACGCTTGAATGAGGCAATTTGTAGGAGAATTTTTCAAGAAAGCGATACACTTCGATATGCATTATTAAAAGTCAATAACCAACTTTCATGTGTACACAATGACCAAGGATGAGACCCAAATTTTGTATCTTTTGGTAAATCTTTTTTTGTTTACAAACCTTAATGGACACAAATTACCCGTGTTCAAAACAATGGCGCAACGTGTACAAGGGCAACTAGTCTATCGCTCATTGTAACAACATGCAGTTGAACCCTAGTAAGTGCAAGCTGATGCGGGTTGATTTTTTGCATTATAATAGTTGCTACAATCGGTGGAATCGTTTAAGCTCCTCGGGGTGTACATTTCCTCGGACCTCAGCTGGTCGACTCATTGCGACTATATAATAAAGAAATCAAACCGCCCCCTTTATGCTCTAAGAAAACTGAAAGCTTGTGGGGTGCAAGATGGGGAGATGGTGGCTGTGTATTGCTCCCTACTTAGACCTGTTCTAGTGTATGCATCGGTAGTTTTTGCAAATTTACCGCAGTATCTCTGCATGGCTTTAGAAAGAGTGCAAAAGAGAGCCCTACGAATCATCTTTGGTCCTGACTTGAGCTACGAGGACACCCTCGCGCGTGCCGGGCTTCTGTCTCTAGAGGCCAGACGCCACCTGGCGTGCAAGAAATTTGTGACGGAAACTATGCATGCTAGCCCGCTTTACCGCCTAATATCCAGCAGGGTCATCTCGTCGCAAACCTCGTATTCACTGAGGTCAGGACCATCAGGCCATGTGTTACCCGGCCGAACTGACCGGTTCTCAGAATTCGTGTCAGTTAAATATTCGCCGTATATCGATTGTGTGTAATAATGTGTATGCGATTTCTACCATACTACTGCTTTATTATATTTATGTTTTTATATTTATATATTTATATGTATAATTGTATGTTTGTAAGTGCCTTGCCTGACCCTACCTGTAATTCAGAGAAATCTGCGAATGGTGGAAATAAACAAATATTATTATTATTATTATTATTATTATTATTCTTGCATTTCTTTTTTCTCCGAATGGAAGTGAATCACCAACGAATAAAACTAGAACAAAATCCAACACCACTGTTTGTGCAAACTACTATAATTATCTACATTGAAATGAAATTTAACAATATTGAATCCTTACCCACAACGGTTACTTCAACCGTTTTTGAATCACTTCCTTCTTCATTTTCTGCCAGTAGAGTGTATTGAAAGGTACCCGTCCGATTTAGTTGGAATCCTTTTATGACCAAACCGCCCTTCAAAGATATTGATGTATTCATTAGAGTCAAGTTAATCGGTGGGGTACCTTCCAGCAATAACCAGAGATAATGTTCTGGTACAGTTCGGAACTCCTTCAACGGTACCCTTATCCTCGGCTTTTCTGAAAAAGAACATTTAGCAGGTTTTAAGATGTCCCGATTTCAAGTCATATCAGGTTGCAAGTTAATTAAATTAGAGTTGATTAAATCTACAGTGAAACCTGTATTAAGTGGACACCCTCTATTAAGCGGACAGTAGCCAAAGTACTTTAAATGAAACCTTTATTAAGCGGACACCTCTATCAAGCGGACGCGGACACCTAAAAAGTACCTGAAATGGTCATTTCTATTGTTGCCAACCTGTATTAAACGGACACTTGTAATTAAATTCCACCACCCAACATGCCAGACACCGGAAACGCTTAAGATTGCCTCGAATTGTCACCCAGAAATTTTTCGATTTTTACATTAAAGAAGGTGACTTGACGAACTTATTTGATTAGTTTCTCAGTACAGTATTGTTTTCTGTTTCGTTTTGTTTGTATAGAGCTTTTTTCACTCATCTGATTTCTTCAAATTTGAGTTGCAATCTATGTTTAAGGTACTATGATCAACTGGTCCACTTTGATAAAGAAATTCACGTAAACGTATATCGTCATAGTCTCTGGGAGTATTCTAAACATTTCCACTGTTCATTTGAATGGCATTTGACACCTCATATGGCGTTATCTATCGAGACCTGTGTTAGGCGGACACCCTGTATAAAGCGGACACCACAGCTTTCCCCGAGGGTGTCCGCTTAATACAGGTTTCACCTTAAATAAGACTCCCAAAAGATAAGTTATTACCCCCTTGTAGAACATCACGCTAAACGATACTCAAGAATTTTAATAGCTAGTTTGAAGGGTATTAGTGAGTTCGACGTTTGAGATAAGAACGGGTATACTTTTAATTTACGTTTTCCGTAAGTCAGACATGCCTCGTGTTATCGTTTCGGGCCATCCCTCTGAAATTTAAGCGTTTCAATATTATCTCACATTGTTGTAAAACGTGCCACTTTACAAACTCGGGAAACAATCAACTGATAGTCAGTAAGGACGGATAGAAAGAATACAGGGGAGCCGCATTTGTGATATCACGTACTTGATTTGAATCGCGTCATCAAATCGTTGTGCATTTAAACCAAGTTTAACATCATATACCAATAAACCGTCAGTTTTCTTGAACTGTCAATACAAAAAGTTTGATCCAACGGTACTATAAAATTTTACTGCTACAACTTCCCAGAAAGTTTTTGACAACAAATAAGCACTTCAGGCAAGGGGTTTGTTTACATGATAGCGTTTTCTGGAGCCAATGCTTTGATGTATGACTTTGAAAGCACTTTCAAGTAAGACCGCGGGGCCAGTAGTTGAATGGAATTTTGTATTTTTGTTGTTTTGGTCACAGTTGGTTTTTTCTGAAAAGCAAAGGTTTTCTTGGTATACTACATTTACGCTACATTTCTCGCATTCAATTTTTTTTTTCATTCAGGAAGGAAGGATTAAGTGTTACTGATCAAGAGGGAATAACATCTTAATCGTTTTTCTTTCATTTTTTTTTTCTTAGGAAAAAATAAAATAAAACTTTTTTGATTTGTAAGGTCTACGTTACTATGCAGCCCTGGCCATTTCCGTTTTCGTCATTCTGCACTCCAACACATTTCACGTTGAGTATAATTTTTGAATGGAGAGTACTTACGGTTCTGTACGCGTGCGTAATCAGTGGTCGGTTCCGGCAATTCTACTTTTTGCAAAAAACGCAGATTAAGAAAATGAAAAACGCCTAAAAATCAATATCTTTATTTTTATTCTATACTCAAAACGGAAAAAAGGAAACCCTTTTTTAACTTCCAGTCGCCATTATGGAAACTTGAGAAAAGTGCCCCCTTTTCTCACGAAAAGCCGGATATTTTTAAGATTTTTCTGCGATATAAAGTGAAGCAACTTTCTTGAGTAATATTTATATCTCACGAATCGCAAAAAAACTGGAAAGAGACATTTCTCGAGTTTTTTCTACTTTTTGCCTTTTTCTTCAAAGTAAAACAAAGTCGACCTTTTTCCTCTTTCTTTGTTTGGTCTTTTTGGGCGGACAGCTGTCAAATAAAGGCGGGAATCCCATTCTTCACTCCTCTCAACAGTCCTCTCAACTGACAATTGTGAGCAATGAATTGTGACGTTAATTTACAGTTTTTCATATGTAGGCCGGAAGGCAATATGTCGGACGTTTACGTCGAGATTTAACTCTAAACAACGGTACTCTGGCCATGCTATTTAGGCTCTTCCTAAACCAGGAGGTCTACGTACATTTCCTTCAAAGAAGGGGAGAAAATTCTCCCATACTGGCTTTTAGCACGTCGAGGACTTTGAGAAGACGTACTCAGTCAACGGAGAACGAATGACTGCCGACTCAGTTAGCTCAGTAGTGCCCGCAGTACAGTCTACAGGGCTTGGGGTACCTCTTTTCTACCAAAGGACGGCCACACGAACAAATCTCAACCCCACGCATGGACAGAGTGCGGTGGCCATGCAAAAACGACCGACATTTACCCTCACCAAGAGGGGTCTAGAGACGCGGCAGAAATCGCTCATATGGTGGACGTGTCGCCGTCTGGTGAAATTGGAGAAAAAGTTCCAGGTGCACCTTGTCGCTGACCGAAGAAACTTCGTCGGTCAATGAAACATTTGCATCGAGAAGAATCACTTCAAAGCCTAATTGTTGTTTTAGTAGCCTCTGTCCTTCATCGACCGACGAAGTTTCTTCGGTCAGCGACATGTTCACAAGCGATTTCCTCCACGCCACTTGACCCTTCTTGGTGGTGGTGAAGGCTGGTCGTTTTAGTACGGCCAGCGCACTCTGCCCAGGCTGAGGGTTGAAATTTGTTCTTGTCGCCGTCCTCTGGTACGTCTTCTCAAATTCCTCGACGTGCTAAAAGCCTGTATCTGATTGTGGAATTATCTCCTCTTCTTCGAAGGAAATGTTCGTAGATCCCCTGGTTTAGATCGAGCATAAATTACCAGGACCTTTGTTTAGAGTTGAAGACTTTAGTTTTACCCCTTTTTTATTTCTTGTCCATCTAAATTTTGACGTAAAGACCCGACATCTTGAAACAGTGCCGGAACACAAAGTGTGCAACTACATATACACTTGTAAATTAATGCCACAATTGCCCAAAATTTAACGCCATTTTTTGACAGCTGTCAGTCGAGTGCAGTCCGCCAAAATTAGCAAACAAAGAATGGGGCCGGGAAAAAGTCGACTTTTTTCGACTTTGAAGAAAGAGGCAGAAACCTGAAAAAAATCGAGAAATTTCTCTTTCCAGCTTTTTTGCGATTAGTGAGATATAAATATTACTCAAGAAAGTTGCTTCAATTTATATCAAAGACAAATCCTAAAAATATCCGGCTTTCATGAGAAAAGGGGACACTTTTCTCAGGTTTTAATAAAGGCGAGTGAAAGTTAAAAAAAGGTATCTTTTTTTTTTGTTTTGAGTGTGAAATATAAAGAATCACCTTGATTTTTAGGTATTTTTTATTTTCGTTATCCGCGTTTTTTGCAAAAAGTAGAATTGCCAGAACCGACCACTGATTGTGCGTATCGTTACATAGTTTTGCTTATGTCAATAAATAACAAGCTACATTGCATCTTTATCACTTGATTTAAATTGACCTACCGGGAAAAGTAAAAGGAAATATGTTAAAGGAGCAGTTTCAAAATTTGAAAGAAAAATTCGTTACCAAAGTACTCTTTTAAATGTTTCCTTAGAGTGTAAAATTTATTTATCTTTATCGATGATTCCTCTGTAAAATATTCCTCTGTTTTACAGTTTTTCTTTCATTAATCAATTTAACGTAATGCTTAGATTTCGGAAACTTATCAATAAGGAGACGCTATTGAAGCTTTATAAAGCCTTTATTTTGCCGCATTTTTACTACTGTTCTTCTGTTTGGCATTTCTGTGGTGCGCGCAATGCCGACAAAGTGGATAACCTAAATAAGCGCATTCTTAGGTTTATACTACAGGACTACAGCTCTCCATATGACATTTTACTAAGCAAAGTTAACATGAAATCTCTATTCATTAGACGCCCCCAGAACTTCATGATCACATTATATAAGAGTCTGTTCTTTACGAATTATCTAGGTTATTTAAAAGATATGTTCACCGTACGGTCATCATCCTACAATTTGCGCAGAAATCATATCCTGGCCCTTTCCAACCCAAAAACAACGACTTACGGTCTGCACTCTTTTTCATACTTAGCTAGCAAAATATGGAACTCTCTCCCAGACACTTAAAACACATTAAATTTCCTAGAATTCAAGCAGTAGATCCTCAGATATGAAGCTTTTCCACAGTAGATTTACAAGTTATATTTCTCTTTGTATGCATAATGTTGTATATAGTTTATAAACAATATTGGAATTGTAATATAGCTTATTTTATTTTTTTTAACTTATTTTCTCGAATACATTAGCTCTACCGCTACTCTGTAAATTTCGAGCATAAATAAAGTATATGTATGTATGTATGTATGTATGTATGTATGTATGTTAAGCTTTCCTCTTTATGCAGTATTGAACGGTGACAGGCTTTAATTGTCACAATCAGAAGAACAGTTTTAATATAGTTTTAATTTATTAATTTACTTGAAGGTATGAAAAATTGTCATCGCTTGTGAGACGCATTCAGTTATTCTACATCAGTTGCGAAGTCCAAGAGTATGATGAGCTAATTAGCATTTAATTAGGCAGGTCTCATTCTCTTATTAATATTTAATTTCTTTCGCTTACCTTTTCTTGAACTTATAAAAGTTCCCTTAAAGTTGCAAGGGGTGACGGAATACCATTTTTGTACAGTCAACGTCAT